TGTGATCATTACCTAATACAGACATGCACTAATAAAAATCAAAAATTGGAAAAAGGAAGGCAGGAAAGACTATGATCTTAATAAAAATTTTAAAAAGGGGTTCAAGAATGATGCTATTGAGCTATGCATTCTCCCTCTTATATCCCTTATGAATAGGTGTCTGGTTCCAGCTCCACACCGGTGATAATAGAACCATTTTTTTTTTCAGGAAGCTGGGAAAAGATTTCCAGGGTTTGCTAGTAGTTAGTTTGGACTTTAAGACCCACCACTGAGTCTGTAATTTTTGTGTTGCAGGCTCTAAAAACCAGAATCAGTAACCTGCCCAATGTAAAGAAGTTTCTGCAGCCAGGGGGCCAGAGAAAGCCTCGTGCTACTCAGAAAGTGATAGAAGAAGCAAGAAAGATTTTCAAGTTTTAGTTAAATTGGCACTGACCAAGATCATGCATGCCAAACATCTACATTTTGCAATAATGAAATTCTTTGCCTAAATGTTGATCCTGGCTTTTATGGGACAATGGGCCATTCCTGATTGCATATGGTAGTGGCATAATAAAATTTGCCTGAGAAGTCTTAAGTGTGACTTTTTTTTCATCAGACTCTGGTATGAAATCAGATTTTGAATGTCTCTTTCTTAGAAGTAAAACTTCATTTTCAAAAATGTAAATTATATGGCTTACATTACTTTTCCAAGAATTGTCCTATAATATCACTTAGACAGTCTATTAATGAGAAAAGTTTACAAGTCTTTATTTGACCTCACATACGTACAGAAAACAACTGCTATTCTTGGCAATAATACAAAACTTTTGCAACAACTCATGTGCTATATACTCACATCTCCTAATGCTTCTTAAAGTGTAGAGGTTGCCCCTCTGTTATTAACCTTCATCCAACTCACTGAAATCCTTACAGGAAGTTTCTTCACAAATCCAGTCTATGATGATTTACAAAGGAGTCAAATGAATCTGGTTAATCTTAACTTTTAATTGAGTACCTTAAAAAGAGACACTTAATCCAACGTTTTATGGGAAGAGGTTGACTTGTAATCCTTCTTGCAGTCCAGCGTGGAAATTTGTGGCACCTGAACAGAGGGAGGGCCTTTTCCATAATTGAACTCTGCCCCCTTCAGTTGCAAGGACTTTCTCAAATGAGCAAATGGCATAAAAATCCATAGGAGGTCATATTGAGGTATGGCGTCAAAAGAGAGAAATCCTTTAACAAGGTCAGTGCTGATCTCCACTCTCCTCCACTGCATCACCCCCTCGAATTCAGGTCACTGAAAGACTACCTTGTACTATATCCTTAGCAGAAGAAAAAGTCTACTTTATACTCAGGTCAAGGCCTTGTTGGTGTATGTAGGTAATAATTTAAGAGTTGCTCATTAAACTGGATTGGGATATGTTGTTACAGAGATGTACAAGTGAAGAATTTAGAAAACTAGAGCTTGAAAATTTAATCATGTGAGAATGATTAATGATGTAGAAAGAAAAGAGATGTAGCATATTAGACAATCTGAGCCTGTGCCCAGTGCAAAGGGAGAAGGTAGAAGTTTATGCTACCTGGCTCTGTCTCTAAAAGTGGTGACAAAATGGTCATGAATTGAAGTTTGTCAAGACCACATGATTGGAATCCCCCACTGACATGTGATTGTGACCTATACCTGCACGGTGCATGCCTTCAATTGCTTCTCAGCCTCTACCTAGTATGAGAAAGGAGTTACCCATGCCTACTACACGCAGTCTAATTTACAGCTGGATGTTTTTTATGACATACAAAATCTCTTCTCTTTGTCAGAGATGCTCTGAAAAACATGGGTGCCATAGGTTTTTCTATATTCCTTTAACGTCTGTACTTTTCTGGCAGGCAGAACTTTTCATGAACAATTTTTATGATCCTTTAGGTGAATGTAAATGTGTGGAACTGTTGGAATTATGTAGGAAAATGACCTGGTTGTATGAATTCAAGAAAATTTAAAAGAATAATTATTTTCTTGTGAATGGTCATATTCTCAGTCCAACAAACATTTGTTAATTCTAGTCCTCTATCAAATGCAATGTTTGCCTCAGTCTTCTGTTTTTTATCAATCTCTATTCCTTTTTTTTTCATGTCTAATTAGTGGGAGAGACCCACTGCTTTATTAATTCGTTTGAAACTGCAGGAAACTCTGGCTATTATTTAACATTGCCTTTTTTACATTTTTTAATTTTAAAAAGAAGAAAAAAATAAAACAATTTCAAATCAAGATAATAGGAGAGTAAAAATTAATACACTGAATATTGTT